TTATAAGAATCAACTTTCAACTCTTCAATCCTTGAATTTCTTGATTTATTAATATTTTCTTTCTTCTGGATAATGTTAAAACTATTAACACTTAGACAAAGTTCAATTTCTAATGAATGTGGTACTCACTAAATTCATTATATTTTTAATTAATGTAAGCAAATTAAAACTACATTTTTTGTATACACAATGAGAACAAGTGAGTATGTATTATAACCCAATTTCTGTTTTATTATCAGCTAAAGCTATTATCAGGGAGTTTATTGTGGACTTAGTTCTTACAATTAATTGTGTAATAGTAGCTGTCCTAGCAGTCAAATGATTAGGAAAAAAGCAAACAGAATTAAACTCAATTATTCAAACTCTGATTATCCAAAATTAGCATATGTTCCACACTTATCTTGCCACTAAAAATTATTTTTCTCACCAAAGATTCACTCAAAGTATATCACTCTCTCTTTTTTCATCAGTAAACTTAAAACCTTGTATATTGGTTTCATATATGGACCTTTTGGCTCTCAAAAATTGTTTAAATAATTGATGTCTGCTTTTGAGATTTTTACCTTTGAAGTCAAAGTAATCTTATCAAAATTATGGCATTGATAAACTACAGCTGTTAGGGAAGGAGAAAAAGGAAAGTACTGCGTGGTTCTCTCGAGATGACAGAGGACATAAAGTTCTATTACCATAGGCATCATGCTTCTGTCTCCAATTTAAAAATTTGTTTCATTGTATCACTAAACATGCAAGAATAGCATGGGAGGCAGTGTCAAAGTAAACTAAATGCTTTCTCTAAAATTAATTGCCCTTGAGGTTAGTACAGATTGCAATAGCAAATTCTTCTATAATTTTTCATATGTGCCTTTGAAATACATGAAATAATATAATCCTCAAAATTACTCTATAACGTTGTTATTAAAATTCTTTGAATTGAGGTACACTGAAATTGAGAAATTTTCAGAAAATCTTGCAGCTTGTAATTAATGCAACTAGCGTTCAACTTCAGCTATAACCCCTTTTGTCTGCCTGTCTGCTTTCTTTCTAGAAATCATGATACTCAAACAAATATGTACTTTTCTAATGGAACATTAGTACACAATGAATAATTAGACTCGAACAATTTACCTTGAAGCAACCTATTAAGATCATGAGGGCTGATGTTCAGAGTATCTATCCTGGGTATATGGTTAGGACACAAACAGATTAATCAGGAAAATAAAGATATAAGTGCTTAATAAATATTTTGTGAACAGACAGATGGACATATAAAGGATAAATGAAAGTTGTAAGAATCCCAATTTCATCATGTTAAATTCCTGTATACATATCAATTCATATTATACCTAATAGTAACATTTTTGAAATTGTGTTTAAAATGATATTTCAAAAACAATACTGTAATTTTCTTAAGGAAAAATTATTTCATCAAAATCAGATTGATTAACAATTCAGAAATCTCTGGCTTACGGAAATGTTTTTCTAAAGCAGGAATCAATCCAAAAAAGTTACATGCAGTGTCTTAAATATCTGTGACTTCGATACACTGATTTGAATTTTAAGTTTTGACTACTTGAAGGGCCCAGATTGATAATAGACCAACAGTTCTAGGCAGAAACAATGGTGCAACTCAAAATTCCAGTTCAAAGTTTGAAAGTGCAGCTCGTTTCAAAAGGTGGAGACCTAAAATACCTTGATTTTTCTTGGAGGATTCCATACAGTTGAAGCAGAATGGCTTGATGTAACTGAACTTCCTAATAGGTTCATCTGCCCTGTGCCCCACGCAGATGAGAGATTGATTTAAACTGCATAGCACCTATTGGTTCATTTAAGCTTATAGGATTTCAATTTTGTGAAGCTTGTTCAGTTTTGTGCAACTTGTTCTTTCCTTAAGTATAGAACCTAAATTTACATTTCTTAAATGTTTCAAACTGGCTTCTTCCTAGTCTTGTATTGCTGTGATTCTGGAACTCTTTCTGCAATCTAACTGGCATGCACATATATATGTCTGTATTATACTGTTATATGCATTTCCTTAAAACTGAAAGTATTATCTTTTTGGGGGGAGTACTGGGGATCAAACTGACGGTATTATCTTGAACTTATTATTTCTTCACTTCTGGCATCTTAAATCTAAAAATAAATTTTTACATTACAATTTATAAAGATCTTTTCATACACCTTCAGTTTCCTTCCCGGAACTTTTCTTGGTGAATAAAAGTCATTTATAAAGTCGATTTCCCCATAAACATGCAGAGAACAGGTAGATTATACGCCATATTAAATCAGTTGAGTTATTTTTAAAAATAAAATGCAGTTTATAGTGAAAATAAAAGCTTTCTTTAATAATGTACTACTGCCCAACAACAGAAGGATACATTTCTTCATTTTTGGATCACATTTCCTCAGAGAACGTTAATTATCCTTAATTTTTTTAAAAAAGAAAACTTTATTAGTTTGAAAGCTTTTTATGTTCATTAAGTAGATTAGAAAAGTTGCAGAAGAGGAAGAAAAACATGGGATAGAAAATGTCGTATGGACCTAATTGAACATCCTTAAATGCCAGTGAAGATTTGCTGATGTTTTTTAACACCTGTGTAATACTGTTGCCCTTTAAATGTAACTGGTTAAATTTTCAAAGCTGTGTCCTGGGATTTTGCCATTTGATGTCCATTAATATCAATTGGAATTTGCGGCCGAATCCCTGTATACTACTTTGAAATTTTACCCCTTAGTGTTAATGATAGTCTTCTAACAGTGCAGTTAGAAATAAATTATTTATCTGCTTAGTTCAAATTTTCTTTAGTCTCTTGGGTCAACTAAATAAGAGGGGTAGTATTCCAATATTTCTTTATTACTTCAAAGCAACATGTATATAAAGAATCCATTAGCTTAGTATGTGTCAAAAACATGTCAATTATACTGTGCAGAGTTAGCTTTATATCTATCTGAAGGTTTAAGGTGTAGATTTCTGTAAAAATGGTTTGCTTTAAATTTTATTCTCATTTAGATTTCTTTTAATGTAACTGTAGATATGTATATGTAATTGTATATATGTATTCTCAGTATAAATTCTCCTGCCCACCATCTTCACCTTTTTATGATTCAAACTTGAAGAGTAAAAAGAAATAATTGATAAATATTTTTATGTAAAAATAAAGTCTTCATGTCCAGTTTGTAACTTTTTCTAACTGAATACCTTATATTCTAAAGTATCAGCATTGAATATTCTTGATTAACAATTACTGATAAAGGGGTGCTTGTGTGTGTGTTTGTGTGTGTGTGTGTCAGAGCAACAAGCAGACATTTCCACAAACATCTTTGCATTGAGTTCAAAAACATCAGTAATCCATGCATTTCATTCTATCCAAAGTGAATATGAACAGGATTAAAAAAAAATGTCACTGAGGTCTTTGTTAAAAATGTATCTTTTTAGAGAAACCATAGGTTCACAGCAAAATTGAGAGGAAAGTACAGAGATTATCCATATACCAGCTGCCCTGGTGTGCATAGCCTCTCTCATTTTCAACATACTTCCCCAAGTAATACATTTGTTCAAGTTGATGAGCTTAAATTGACATATTATCACCCGAAGTCCACTTTTGTTAGATTTCACTCTTGGTGCTATACATTCTCTGAACTAAGATGGATGTACAACAACATGCATCCACCTTTATAGTATCACATAGTATTTTCACTGTCTTAAAGAACCTCTTTGCTCTGTGTGCTAATCCTTGCCTCCTTCCACTATTCCCTCAACCACTGACCTTTTTACTGCCTCTGCAGTTTTGTTTTTTCTAGAATATAGTATTGTAGTTGGAATTGTATAGGATGCATTCTTTTCAAATTAAAAGTTACCAATTTCAAGACACATACACTCTACTCTATGTGCTTTCTGAAAATGAGAGTTTGAATACATATGTATTAATAATGCTGATTGTGCTTGTGGAAATGATGGTAAAATACTACATGGGGATGAACCAGATATATATTGTGTGTTTTGTTGGGTCCTGACTTACAATAGTGTCAAATTCTTGTACAAGTAGAGCTATATTTAGTAGAAAACATACCTTTAAAGAACTGTTGACTTTTGAATGAACACCAAGAATATCAACTTAAGTTATTCTATTATAACACCATTAATTTAATCCTGGATATTTAATACTTGAGGGTCTAAGAGTCTAAAGGAGGTTTAGTACAGTTTAAAGCTTCTAGTGTTCTGACAATCTGTGTGATTTTCAAGAAATTAAGGACTAATATACTGTTAATATCTGGCTAATTTAAAAAATATACCTATATATAGAGAGAGACTACTTGATTCTAGTAAGTTATCTTTAACTTGGTGAAATTTTTCTAATATGTGAAAATTATATTGTTCTCATGACATTTCTTCAAATACATGTACAAAGCAATATGGAATCTGTAAATTCATCAGCACCTTGCTTGTTTTTACAGTATCTATATTCACAACAGCTGCTTTATACTTTGCAGAAACATAACAGAGTTGTATGTCTATTTATGTATTGTATGATTATTTTTCTTTCTCAAAACCTTCTGTTTCTTGCTTTTTTAAAAAACAGATGCTTGAATGTTCCATACAACCTTTACACATTACTGTATATCAAATTATAATTTGCATGTATTTTATGCAAGAGTTCTAGGGTTGCTATACTCACTTGCATAGCTTCTCATCATTCAGCAATACCATCAAAGTTCTTTTTTTTGGTACCGGGGATCAAACTCAGGACCTTGCACTCGCAAGGCAGTTGCGGTGCCACTGAGCTAAATCACCAGCCCTCATCAAAGTTCTTAAAATAAATACATTCATTGACAAATTATCAGACTTTGAAATATAACATTTATATATTAGATATCTATATATCCTAGTAAAGATAAGGAAATTTGAAATTTCTCTAATACAATATTACTATATAATGGTAAATACAAGGCAGTGTGTTCCAGAGTTCAACATGCTAAAAATTGATTATCCTCACTTTCTGTAGGAACAGCAATCAGACCTATCGCTTTGAGAGCTGTAACCTCCATTGCCCGTGCTTTGCCTGGATTTCCCATTTTGGCCACTGGTGGAATTAACTCAGCTGAAAGTGGACTTCAATTTCTCCATGGTGGAGCTTCAGTCCTCCAGGTAGTACTTGTGCTTGGCTTTTAAATACTGTCTATCTCACAAATATAATATATATTATATGATAAAAATATTTCATTATTTTACAGAAGAAGATAGTGTGGGGTTAAAATGACAGAACTCATTAAGTTTCTCTTGTGAGTTGAGAACAAACCTGAGCTTCATTTCCTGTCTTGTTGAATAGGGGGAGCCTACAAGAACTCTGTGTTTTTTTTAAATATATTCACTCACACATCTATTTGTAAACTAAATGAGACCAGGTATGATTACCAATTGGATGAGGGTTCTTTTCCTCAGTTTGGACAGCAAACAGGAATAGGCAAAGTGTAGCTCTTTTAATGTTAACAGACAAGTCTGAATGTCAGGGCTATCACCTCTTAGTGATACTATACAGGGAGATGCATGTTGTTATACATCTGTCACCTCTTGGGGCCAGAAGGTACTGGCAGACCTCAGGAACATTTCCAGTGATAGAGATGACAGCTCCAGGGAAACTCCATTTTCTCTTTGCTTTTCTCTAATTGCTGGCTAACCAGTGTTATCAGACCTGGTTGCTGGCTTTTTTCTGTGACGGTAGTCTTTGTTATTACCATCGCTCAGTGTACCAATTCAATCTACTCTATTCAAGATAGAAGTCATGAACAGGCGAAATGTACAATTCAAAAGAAGCTTTATTAGACATGTGCTGCAGCATAAGGAGGAACAGTGTATATGCTAATCCACTAAGCATATAGGGGAAGCTATTTGTGTGGGAAAAATGCATGCTCATGCATCCACAGCATTCTGCTAGCTAACCATAGATGGGTTGTCAAAGGTATTCTTGGACCAAATTAAAGATAGCTGCAGAGCGGCAAAGATATCCAAACAGGCTGTGGGGTGGGATCATCTTTTATGAACCTGCCATCCAAGCATGCTGAAGCCAAAGAAATATCTCCCAGGAAATTCATATGGTCATCCACAAGGCATTTGGGGCAGCCACACCTATGAAAGATGAAAGAAAAAATAAAATTTTATAAGTACCTTTTTGGGGAGTTCTGGGCCTTAATTCTCTGTCTGAGTACCAAATACACACTGTACTATTTTTAAAAAAATAACAAATACATGAGAAAACCTAGGTAAAAGTAAAATATCCATAGGAAAATAAAATACAGGATAAGTTCAATACATGATCAATGCCATAAGGTACTGAACAGATTACCAAATTTGACTCTGGACTTTCTGGCAGACAGAGAAGACATTATTGGCTTCTTCACTTTAAAATATAAAAAATACAATGGTTGTTTACCTTCTTGTGGTAGAAAACTGAAGGAAATTCTTCCATTGTCTTTACAAAGGGATGCTTTGAGATGTTTTAAATTGTACTCTTAATGGCACCTCCAGAAATAATACACATTGAGTAACTTTTTTTTGTTTGTACACTTGTTTTGTCATAATGTCGCTCAACATGTGTCTAGTACTGTTGGCACCTTTTAGAATAAACATTTCTCTGAGGAGCCAGATGTGCATGCAGGTTTTGGGTCTGATTGACACAACGATCCATTTTTGTATATAACTACTAGACTGTGAACTCTCAAGTAACACTCCTTTAATGTGACTTCTCACTACGTGGTATTGATGGTAATTGAATGCAGAGAGTTTAACATCACTTATGTCCTCTGGCTAAAGAAAAAGTGGACTGCAAATATGGTTTTACTGCTAATATGAGATTCAGAATTAACACTGCATCATGAAACATACATTAACATACAGATAGGTATATATTACATATATGTAATATGTATGTTAACATATAATACATATATAACTATATATATATTACATTATATAACTAATGTAAACAGACTCTGAAAGGTGGAGAGAAGCCTGACTGCTAGGGACCTTAAGACTTGAGAAACAAAAGAGTGATGAGTTTCTTGATTTGTTCATTTGCTTCCCCATCTGTCCCACAATTGGGGTCAAAGTAGGCCAGCAATCTAGAAACAACAGATACAAATTAAAAAATAATTCTCCTCTCTCTAGCTAAACAACCAGGAAGGAGGCTCCCTAGCAAGACAGTAACTTTTGGACAATCAGTGTTGTATCTCAGCTAAATATCATAGATAAAAACTGCACTCCTACAGCCATCCGTACAAAGTATAAGTGGGGATCCTAGTACAAGGACCTCCTCACTCACCTTGCAACCCTACATCTCCACTGGGCAACATCCCCCATGAATGCAGGAAGGGTGACCTTCTATCCTGGAGGGTCATGAGGTAACCCTTCTCCTTGCCCATGAGATGATACAGAGAAGGTCTAGCGAGTCAGGACTTTCATTACTGCCATGTGGTAATAAGGTTACTGTCCTCTTCTCCTCCCTTTTCTCCTCCCTGTGGTATCAGTGAAGGCCAAGTGGAGGGTAGCAACAACATATTCTTGCTCCTCCCAGCCAGTGTGGTGTCAGTGGGGGCTTGGTGAGGAGCCAACCCTTCCATCCACTTCCAGTCATAACTGGAGGTGTGCCCCAAGGGAAAAGGTCAAGGAGGGAATCTGGGTTCTATCTTGGCAGCACCTCTCCCTCCCCTGCCAATGTCAAGGAAACCATCCAAAAAAATCAGTTTAAGTGAGATCAAGAGTCTCTTAATATTTCAAATGTCAAAACTTCAATCAAAACTCATTTTTGTACAGGAAGATCTCCAATTCCAATCAATAGTTATCAATACCAAGATGACAGGGATATTACAATATTCTGACAAAGATTTGAAAGGGGACATGATAAAATTGTATTAGTAATTAATTGCACACATGATTGAAACTAATTTAAAAAAACAAACTTTCAACAAAAAATAGAAAACAGAAAGTAGAAATTTTAGGACTTCAAAAATTCAGTAACTGAAATGCAAAACTCAGTTGTTGGGATGAACAACAGATTGGAGAGAAGAGAAGAAAGAATCAGTGAACTAGAAAACAGAGCAATAGAAATTGACCAATCTGAACACTAGGAAAAAAAGAGTGAACAGAGCCTCAGGGAACTTGGAGACTACAAGGGAAAATCTAACATTCAAATTAGCAGAGCCTCAGAGGATTTGTGAAAGAAATTGGAGATGAAAAAGAAATAGCTGAAAATTTCTCATATTTTTTCAAAAGACAAAAACCTATAGATTCCAGAAACCAGGTGAACTTCAAACAAGATAGACCCAAAGAAATCCATGTCAAAATACATTTAGAGTCAAATTGCTGAAAATTGAAAAGAAAGTAAACCTTGAAAGCAGCAAAAGAGAAATGATAGCTTATCTAGGGGACAAACAATTCTATTAACAATGGAATTCTCATCAGCAACTTTGGAGTCCAGAAGGAAGAGAAAACATATTTTTTTAAGTGCTGAAAGAAAAAAGTATCAATGAAGAATCCTATTTCTTCAGCCATAAGGGAAACTCAGGACCTTCTCAATTGAGGAAAAATGAAGAGAATTTATTGCCAAAAGATCTTAACTAAAAGAATGACTGATGAAAATTCCTTAAGAGAGAGGAAATGATGAAAGAATTCACCCTGGGACAGCTGGAAGGAAAGAGGGGTAGGTAATAATTTCTTCAAACGGAATCGGAAACAACAAATCCGAGACTTAATGTGACCTGAATTTATTTTAATGAACACAAAGTAATGCATGGTTTAGAAAGATGCAAATGGGTTATGAATGGATTCCAGAAATAGAGTCCTGCTCTTTGCCAAACTTGGGATCATCAACAAGTCACACATGGAAACAAAAGTTCTCAGTTACCTACCATGAGGTGGTAGAAGCTGCAGTTACATCTTTGATTTCTACAACCTACCCAAGAGTGAGTTTTATACTTCTTTCTATTGATATCAGCTGAGACTTGAAAGACAACAGTAGTGTAGACAAAGTCACATGGCTTGTGCTAGAGCCAGAACTCAGATCTCTAATTCTGTAGCCACAGACTGATTGTTCACACTGCCTGCCTCCCCACAGGGCTTGTAATACCAGAATATCAGTGATAGTCTTCCATGCCTACTGAAAGCTTCCATGTTCATGACAGAGTACCACTATACAAAAGACAGGCCCTTGCCTTGCCTCCATGTTTTTTTCCACAAAATCTTTTGTTCCAGAAATGTAACAGTTTGTGCTGTGGGGCAATGCCCCTGCCCAATGAATTTCATAAATGTTTTGTAACTGCCTGAACTGCATGACCTCTCTGGAATGTCCTGTTAGCTGTGCCCCTCTCAGGAGTATTCTGTTAGCTCTGCCTCTCTGCCTCTGTGAGCATCCTTGCCCACTATATCTTTCAGGAATGTTCCCTAACTCCCTTCTGTGAGCATGCTCGACTACCAGGTCGATTCCTATATTAAGGAGGCTTTCATTTCTGGTGAAGCCCTCAGACTTTGGAGTACAGACTCCTCTGACCTGCTAGCATAATAAAAGGTTTTTCTCCACCTCTTCCAGAGTGACCTTCAGATTCTTGAGTCTTCAAATTGCAGTACCTGTGACACTGAGCTGTAACACTTGGTTGTGCCTCAGAGCTATAACACTTGGCTGTAGCACCAAGCTGTTCCACTTTGCCACAACATTCAGGCTATACCTTACTTCTTATTCTTTTCATATTAAAAAAGAATAAATGTGAAGACAGAAAAATAAAGCTGCTTCATGTGTCCTGAGTGCAAGTATGTACTTAGTGTGTACTGTAGTAGGTAAATATGATGTACAGTACTGTATATCTTTGTAAAAATGCACAATGAAATCATTATTCCCATTTCATTTTCTACTTAGGCTCCTCTTAATAGAGAAGCAAAGGTTTATTGAGGCTATGTTAAGAAAACGAAGTCTCTTGTGTTTTATATATGAATAGACCTTGGTACTGTGACAAAGAGAGTCAGAGAGGCAATTCTGAGGAGAGGACTTTCATTCTGTCTTTCTTGAGTCCTGTAATTTCTCCCTCAGGAGAATCTAAATTCCTGTCTGATCTTTTCTCTCTCCATATATGACTGCTTATTTTTTCCTCCTCTGAACTTTC